GAGTTTCAGCGGCGAAAGAATTCGATTCGCGGGTAGGAAAGCGAGCGACCATGCTGATATTATTCCACGCTTACCGAGCGTGATGACGGTGATTAGGGAGCCATCGCGACGTGACGGGAAAATGTTAAGGCTCACGCGACATATTCGCGCGTAGGAAAGCGAGCGACCATGCTGATATTATTCCACGCTTACCGAGCGTGATGTCGGTGATTAGGGAGCCAGCGCGACGTGACGGGAAAATGTTAAGGCTCACGCGACATATTCGCGCGTAGGAAAGCGAGCGACCATGCTGATATTATTCCACGCTTACCGAGCGTGATGTCGGTGATTAGGGAGCCAGCGCGACGCGACGGGAAAATGTTAAGGCTCACGCGACATATTCGCGCGTAGGAAAGCGAGCGACCATGCTGATATTATTCCACGCTTACCGAGCGTGATGTCGGTGATTAGGGAGCCAGCGCGACGCGACGGGAAAATGTTAAGGCTCATGCGATATATTGGCGAGTTTCAGCGGCGAAAGAATTCGATTCGCGGGTAGGAAAGCGAGCGACCATGCTGATATTATTCCACGCTTACCGAGCGTGATGACGGTGATTAGGGAGCCATCGCGACGTGACGGGAAAATGTTAAGGCTCACGCGACATATTCGCGCGTAGGAAAGCGAGCGACCATGCTGATATTATTCCACGCTTACCGAGCGTGATGTCGGTGATTAGGGAGCCAGCGCGACGCGACGGGAAAATGTTAAGGCTCACGCGACATATTCGCGCGTAGGAAAGCGAGCGACCATGCTGATATTATTCCACGCTTACCGAGCGTGATGTCGGTGATTAGGGAGCCAGCGCGACGCGACGGGAAAATGTTAAGGCTCACGCGACATATTCGCGCGTAGGAAAGCGAGCGACCATGCTGATATTATTCCACGCTTACCGAGCGTGATGTCGGTGATTAGGGAGCCAGCGCGACGCGACGGGAAAATGTTAAGGCTCACGCGACATATTCGCGCGTAGGAAAGCGAGCGACCATGCTGATATTATTCCACGCTTACCGAGCGTGATGTCGGTGATTAGGGAGCCAGCGCGACGCGACGGGAAAATGTTAAGGCTCATGCGATATATTGGCGAGTTTCAGCGGCGAAAGAATTCGATTCGCGGGTAGGAAAGCGAGCGACCATGCTGATATTATTCCACGCTTACCGAGCGTGATGACGGTGATTAGGGAGCCATCGCGACGTGACGGGAAAATGTTAAGGCTCACGCGACATATTCGCGCGTAGGAAAGCGAGCGACCATGCTGATATTATTCCACGCTTACCGAGCGTGATGACGGTGATTAGGGAGCCATCGCGACGTGACGGGAAAATGTTAAGGCTCACGCGACATATTCGCGCGTAGGAAAGCGAGCGACCATGCTGATATTATTCCACGCTTACCGAGCGTGATGTCGGTGATTAGGGAGCCAGCGCGACGCGACGGGAAAATGTTAAGGCTCATGCGATGTATTGGCGAGTTTCAGCGGTGAAAGAATTCAATTCGCGGGTAGGATAGCGACCGACCATACTGATATTCGGGTTTCATCGGTATTTGTTTTCTATGACGGTGGCACATTCGCAACCGTTAGGTTAGGTTGCACGTTGCAGAAGAAAGAAGAGTTTGCAGTGAAGACGAGGACGTTGCGGATGAGAAGAAAATGCTGTAGAACAGCGAAGAAAGCGCGGAAGAAAGGAAAAACTCAACGGAATTGTCAGCATGACTGAAGAAGAATAGAGATTGTCCCAGAAGAGGAAAGAGTAGGATGTCCAAAGAAGAAGACAATGTGGCACAGCTGCAAAAACCGGCTGCTTCAGAAGAGAAGAAGTGAAGAAAGAAGACAAACGGAGAAGAAAGAAGACAAACGGAGAAGAAAGAAGGCAAACGGAGAGGAAAGAAGACAAACGGAGAAGAAATAAGAGAAATGGAGAAGCAGGAAGACAAACGGAGAAGAAAGAAGACAAACCGAGAAGAAGGTAGACACATGGAGAAGAAGGAAGACAAACGGAGAAGAAAGATGACAAACGGAGAAGAAGGAAGACAAACGGAGAAGAAAGACGACAAACGTAGAAGAAAATTGACAAACGGAGAAGAAAGAAGACAAGCGGAGAAGAAAGAATACAAGCGGAGAAGAAAGAATACAAACGGAGAAGAAAGAAGACAAACGGAGAAGAAAGAAGACAAACGGAGAAGAAAGAAGACAAACGGAGAAGAAAGATGACAATTGGAGAAGAAAGAGGACAAACGGTGAAGAAGTAAGACAAACGGAGGAGAAAGAAAACAAACGAAGAAGAAAGAAGTGGTTAGGACGCTGCTGTTAAGACGAAGAAGAGTGCGCTCTGATAAACTGAAGCAGGAGACAGAAAAGAAGAAAAATGCTACAATATGGAAGGGATCACGGCAGAAGAGGAAAGAAGAGGCGAAGTTCCATAGCAGCGAAGATCGTAGATGCCAGGTTATTGTTTTTGGTGGAGATTAATTTCTGAGATCTGTTTTAGGGTCAGCGAGGGAAGCGGGGATATTACAGAAGAGAAGAGGAAGCTGCGGAACAGAAGAGGACGCTGCAGAACAGAAGAGGAGGCCGCAGAAGAGAAGAGGAATTTATAGAACAGAAGTGGATGCGGCAGAACAGAAGCCAGTGCAGCTGAAGAGAAGGGGACGCAGCAGAATAGAAGAGAACGTAGCAGAATCATCGATGGCAGCTTAAGAGACAGTGACAGTAGCAGAAAAAAGAAGATAAGTATCTATTCCGATTTTATTTCAGTCTTTTTTATTTTTCTCTTTTTTTAATACTTATTTTTGTGTGTTTCAGGAGTTCATATATATGGTATTTCAGCATATACAATATATCAACATATGTGTGTGTGTCTATTTCAGATTAGAAAAATTTCGGACGCGGGTGATCGTGAACACGAAGAATTTATTGATTCTTGTTTTGCTCTTGTTTTGCTTTCGTTTTTGTTGTCTCTTGTACCGTCTTTGTCATTTCGTTTAGTGGTGTTGCATTTCTTATTGGCTGTGGCGATGAAGTATTGCTGAATAACAACGTTGGAATCATTTCTTAGCTTCTAGTTAGGGAGGATTTAAGCTGTAAAGGAACAATGGTTTGTACGAAATTTTGAAATGGGTAAAAGTGCATTATTATTGCACTGAGGTTATATCTTAGCTTTTTATATAGGCAGGATGAAATGTGGAAACAATTGTTGAAAATGGTTTAGCTTCTAGTTAGGGAGGATTCAATGTACATTGAATGAAGGTTTGGAATTATTGATTTGTTTCTTTAGCTTTTTAGTTAGGTAGGTTCGGTCACGTGACTGGAATATATGGTTCATTTCCTATGAATTTGAAGGTAAAATGTTAATCATCGATGGTTATGTTCTGATTTCTTCACCGATGGGATTTGTATATCGTTTCCATTATGGATACTTTTTATCAGTATCATAATGGTTTTGCTCGTTGTTACCATTGTGGGTACTTTCTATCAGTACCATAATGGTTTTGTGTGTTTTCAAGATTCATGCTGAGGTCTATTCCAAATTAGTACCGTTTCCGGGTAGGCTAGCTGATATATCCATTTGTGTAATATTTACAGAACGTACATGGGTCGTACGTTGTGTAACTGTACAACAAATGGAGTATTACTGAAAAGATGTATGATAGTAGATTTAGTTGTATTGTATTATTATAGTACATTTTTTTATCTGCACAAGGAAGGGTGGATGGGTGCGGATCGGGCGGGTCTCCAGTCGCGGCAACCTCCACGTGGTGAGACCTGGGCAATCGTTATTACTTGATGACTAATTAGTAACTGTATCATTATTTCTATGGTACATTTATTAATTATGCAGCAAATAATACGAGCGAATTGGCTGCGAAAATACTTTTTTTTCTATTTAATCGCTGTTATATTTTTTTCGGGAACTATGCCTTTGAGATTCTGAACTGTATCACATTGCAAATACAATTTTACGGAATGAAAATTAATAATAATGAATGCATAGACAATATTGTTTAATTATGTACTTATACATATAGCTATCGTAGGATACACGTGTCATTTAGGTGTATGCGAAAGGTGGCGTAGTATAGCATGCCGTTAGTTGGATGCAATAACTAAGGTGGCGCTTGAATTAGTTTCTGTTTAGCTTAATTTTCGATCAAACATGGGCTGTTTTACCGATGCGGAATTCGGAGTTCGGCCTCAACGCTTGCATCGCCTAAAATAATTGATTTTTGAGCTTGACTGACATGTATATAGCACTCTACAAATATAGTTCTATAAGTGTAATATAAAATATGTTATAATTCGAAACATACAAATTATAGAGAACATTGAAAAAGGTTGAAAAAGTGGAGTACTACAAGAACGATATTTCAAATTTAGTTCCAACAGTTCACCGTTAGTTGGCGACACCATTCAATTCATGTGAAACGCGTTTTTTTTTTAAATTATCTTATTAATTTTTCCGCGCATAATGAGAGGGCACCGCTAGTACTGTTTTTAAAAAGCGCATCAATATAAAAAGTTACAAAACGTGAAATAGTAGCATTTTACAACGCTTTTAGCTTATTGAATTAATTTTTCAAAAACGATATGATGTTCTCTTGTTTTAGTACCAATCAAGTAATTATAGCACATGATTCATGATTTTTATTAGTCTTGCTACAATTCCCATATATACAAATGTGAACCTATCGAACTACACGAACAAGATACTGAATAAAAAGATAAATAAAAGAAAAATTCGTACACTACTACGAATAGCAGACATTACGAGTATCAACAATTGTATAACTTTAAGTAACATTTACAATCCTAAATGATCTTTTTCAATGCTAAGACTTGATCTAACTTTGCACAGGGAAAAGATTTGCATTTCGTGATACTTCAGTTATAAAATACGATTATTAATCGTGTGTTAATCGCACATGTATACATATATACTATAGTTTATTTTAACATACCGTAGATTCTCGTTACAATATACGTACAATATTCTATTATCTTATTGTATAATCGTACCATACCTTAACCAGATATACTCTCTTCTTTTTTTCACTCATACATACGTAGTGCCTTATATTAAAATTTGCTGGGAGCAAAATAGGAACTGTGATCGCCTGATGTACCAGATTCGTCTTTTGAAAATATACATCCAAAGTAATAAGAAATGAAACACCTTAAATTAGAACTGCGTAAATGTTCCTTCAAACGAAATATGAATAATGTAATACCTAACGTTAGAACAACTTACGTTCTATAAAACTAAAGAATAAATAGTATAATAAATCCTCGTGAAATGGACGAATCAATGGTGCAGTTTCCGTACAAACAGGCCGTAAGAAGGCACCGAGCAACGCAACGTAAGAAATCTTCGAAATCCTCGAGGGCGACCGCGAGAGGAAGTTCAGCGACTTCCGCCGATTTGTATCGCGAAAAATGTGAAAAATGCGTGGCTCGTTACGGAAATGTCTCGTTGATCAAACAAAGGATCATCGACTCCGTGTTTCGTGGGAAGATTGGTCAGGTTCTTCGCGGGGCAACGCGTTTTCACGAGGAGGAAACGCTAGCTCGTGAAATACGCGACGTCGAATCGATGAAAACGTCGCGCGCATCCGTATTAAAGCGGAGCTTTTCTCTCTGACTCGCTTCGGATCCTCGAATCAGCGCCTCGACCCTAAATTCCGCCTTTCTCGACGCTTTAAACGACGCGTTATTACGTTCGATCGATTGCCACCACGAGAATCAACGCAGAGATACTGGGGAAACTACCATCTGATGGATATTGTAGACATTTTTTGGGAATGTGACAGAAGGAAATTTGCAGTAGCTGCGGTAAATTTTGAAAAAATTATGCGCAAATAAAAATTATCCAATCGCCTAACGATATTTCGAATTTCGGGATGATCCAAACGGTACCTAAATACACTCTGCGTATTTCGTGTAACGACCACGAGGACGAAACGAGCCGCAATAAAAGACAAGAGTATAATTTATATCCTCGTAGACGAGTGTTTCCAATTTTACGATCGGAATTCATGTCTCTAAGCCTCTCTCCCGGTCGATCTCGTGATTAGAATGGACACACATACTGGACGCGATTAACATGAACGTTACGCAAAGAATCTGGCTAAGATTATTACTACTTTTTCTTTTCCTTCACATACACGCGTGTATCTATCACTCTATGCTTCGTCCCTCTCAAACAACGAAGCACTGCGGGTGCTTGGACGATTCTGCGTCGGTTTCACGCTCTCGAACGTATTAGAGGCAATTTCCGGTCCGATCCATTATTCCTCGACACGGCCAGCCTCGATAAATAATAAACGGCGATAAAACGCATTCGCTACACGTTCACCGAGCTCATCGGTTACGCGTGAATCGCTTTTAAACGTAACAAAATCCGTATCCTCTTGAATGATCTTTTTCCTGAAATAACTGTGTTTTGTTGTATTTATTGTTTCTCGAATCGAAATCATTCGGATTCCACGCATACATGTCTAGTTTACGGATAATTTTGTACTTTGATCGAGAAATTCGATTGCAGTTCGGTGGATCACTGATTACGTGTGGAGAGCAATCGACGTACGGTGTGATTTTAAGTTTCTGATAATCGACGACGTTTATGATAAAAAAATTAAGTATACAAAAATGTGTACATCCATATTTAATGTAAATCAATAATTAAAAAAGAAATTCGAGTATTGTAGTATTGATATTATATTAAATTCATAAAATATCAAGTGGAACAAATTGGAAAATGAAACGATAATATGTATTCTGAAATTATAGCGTGTCTGATTACGAAAAGTTGATGTCTAAATTATTGAATTTTTAGAATGACGTATGTGTATGTTGTGTTTCCGTTAGAGACTTACCCGTGCCTCGAAAATCACAAAACCAGACACACCCCACAAAAATACATACTTACACTTCGCGATCGAACAAGAACAGAAGGAACTGAAATAAATGGGCATAAACTAAACTCAATTACAATGTCTCTCCTTTCTAAACATATTTATTGTAATCGTATTGGCAAGTTGGATGGCTTACATGCTAAGAATGGCAAAAAAAGTAACGTAAAGAACATAAAGTAGTAACGTATTTACGTGCGAGGAGAAAAGGAAGAACAAAGTAAAAGGATCATTAAAAAAAGAAGATAGGAAAATGAAAGGATCCATTGACTGGGAACAATTAATAGATAAATATATATGATATTTACAAACAAGAAAGGAAGAAGAAAGGAAGACGAAAAGTATAGAATCGAGGGAAGGAAAGACGGGATATAATATCTGACATACTGGCTCGTTCACGTACAGTAAAGATTTGCCTCTGTCTCGTTGGCGGATCAACATCAAAACAAACGAAAGCAAAAGAAAAATGAAAAATTCAAGCGCAAAAATCATTCTCTTTCATTTGAAATTACAATTAACAGAATGGCCACGAAATAAAAATGAAGTTCGTCTCACAGATTTCGATTCCCTGCCAGGAGACAGATGTACATATCCCTCTAACACGATCTATCGAAGCTAATAATAATGAAAATGATAATGATAATAATAACATTAATCTTAAAATGGCGGTAATAAAAAAAAAAAGAAAAAAACGTAACAATATTGAAGCACCTTAATGATAGTTAACCGTAAAAAGTAAAGAACGAGATGTGTGTCTCGATGACGAGGCCGATGAGTGGATCATTAAATGATGATCGTCTCTTTTTTCCTTTTTTGACGAAATCGAAACACGTCTAGATATGCTAAACTTCCGCGCTTTATAATCCTTTTTCTCGTTTTTCGTTCGCTCACTCGCCTATTTATTTCGCCTTTCAATTTCCTCAATGCTATCGTCATCAACGATAATCACCGATTGAAGATATTATAACGAGCGAGTCGATGAGACGGCGTGCACATTTATCACTTTAGCCATCGGGTGACGAACGAGCGGTTTTTGAAAAAACGCAACGTGTTAAACAGAGGAAGCTACGATAAAATTATAATCATTTTTGAGGATTTGACTGGTACTTTAATAGTATCGTTAGAAGGTAAAATTCATAATGACGATCGCGTGGTTGATCGATTCGGGGTGAAATTAATTAGCCTTTCTCGCGGCATTGTCTCCGAAGTAATTAACGAGAACGAACGAGAAAGAAGAAGAAAAAGAAAATTCGATGTTCCTTGGAGATCATCAGATCGAACTTTAATAAACGTTTCATCGAGTTTCCTCCGTTCGGGTCGTTATTAAAAATCATAGATCAATAAATTGTCGGGAGCGACAATTCTTTTTTAATTTCTTTTTGAAATAAAATAAAAAATTAAAGAGTCACACCGTACGTCGAGTGATTGCACGCTTATTGGTTTCGCCACGCGACCGTGTTTTCCTCAGATCCGACGTGAATTACAAAATAAGTTAGGAGTTTATGGTTTCTATCACTAGAAAGACTCTATTATATAATAATAATAATATACAGGGTGAGCCACGTAATTGTTTTAAATCATAACTGCGTTATTAGCGTATTCACCCAAAAATTCCAAAGGAGAAAGATAAATGGCACGAAGAACACTACATTCGTATATTTTCATTTAAAAAAATGATACAATTATTAATCGCACATGCACTGTTTGCACTTGAAAAAATCTAATGACTTATGGATGTAGTGATCTTCCAGCCATTTATCTTTCTCCTTTGGCATTTTTTCGTGAATTCGCTAATAACATAGTTATGACCTGAAACAATTTCGTGGCCCACCCTGTATATGCCTATGGCTACGACGCATCCCTGATTATGTTCTCTGTAAAATATCACGTAGATAGGTATATTTTATATTTTTTCTCTTTTTTCTCACTTTCTAATAATAATAATATATATATATATATATAATTATATGCGTATAGTAGGAGGCCATTCGAACATTTTCTTTTTATTCGACACATTTTCTCACTGATTTTCAACATTCTCACAGTATCTCTCACGCGATGTATACATCATAATGCATCACACTAAAACACGCTCACGCGAAAAAAAAAGATTATTTCTTCTCTCTCGATGCAGCAGTAAAATCACTAACCAGTATATATCGACGAGTCAACGCGTAAAAACGACTGTAAGTACAACGTATTGCATTGTGATTTTGGAATTCAGCACATTTCGCTCGCGGAACAGTCTCGGGCCGATCGCGTTTTGGCAGTGAATTCAATTCGTCCGCTAACTTTTAATAATGCATTCGTTAAACTGAGGTAGCTCTATTGTATTTATTCTTTCTTGTTGATTTCTCATATGCTTTTCTATTTCTTTTCTATTTGCTTCGTTTTTTACCGCGTAGGCTCGACTGTTCCGTGCAAGGAGGCAAATTCTTAAACCTATATAATCCGTGGAAGCTATATATTTATCTCTCGCGCTTTTGACTATGTATAAACATTGTGTATATATATAATTATGTATATAATATATACACGATACGGAGACGTGGTTTACGGGGACGAATCGACGTCGTAAAAGTAAAACTTTCGGTAAAATATGAGCGTGAGTATAGCGCGAGAAGAAGACTGATATTTAATAACATGGAGGTAGCTGTGGTGATTTTCACAATTATTTCTCTTTCCTCTTTTTTTTTCGTATCCTAATGATCGTGACGTGTTTCTCGTGAAATAAATTCGAGCTGCAAAATATTGTGACGGTATTATAATTCTGATAATTGTTAACGAAAAGAGAGCGACAGAGGAAAATAAAAGTAATTTTAATTAAAATGTGCGAGCATCGATGTTAACAAAAAGCTCGATTCAATTTCATCGATCACACGTCGATGCACGCGGATACGGTGTGCACACGCCTTGCCACTTGCCAGTGTAAAATCTCGTAACAAACAAGAAACAAACAAACAAACGAAACAAAACAGAATATAGACGCTGGCTCGCGAATCACCCGAGCGCCCGATTAACGCAAGAATCACACCTGTAGTAGTAGTAGTAGTAGTAGCAGTAGTAGTAGTAGTAGTTTCTATAAGTATAGTATCACGGCCTGGCTGCTTCAGATTTCCTGAGTTTGTTATTACATTTATATAATGCATTATTTAATCGTGCCGGTGTTCGAGTACCTGAGATGGCAACACGCTCCCCTCCATACAAACAATTTTCACCAAATCCTGCTGATTTTCAAGAATCACGCACGACAGAACCTTTACTATTAATTCGAAATAAACAAAGAAATTTTAATTATAGGCAGTCTTGTATTTTATTTTTATTTTTATTGAAACGAAATTTAGTCCTATCTCTGGGATCATTTTCTTCGTACAGTTAAGACCATTCTGGCACCCCTCGGTCAGGGCGCTTATTTGCATACACACCCAAGGACACCCCGACGTTCGAAAGCTGCCTGCCCGACAATTCGTGAAAGGCTTGCCGCGTTTACGGCGTCGTTAATCCGCCTTTATAATCACCGTAAAGCCACGCACGAGTGTGCACTCGTACGATTCGGTCTTTACGACACACCGGTCTTTTATCGTTGTACCGAGAACCGCGTTCACCACTACTGTTTATCGTCGACAAGTTCTGTCGTGCGTTCTTCCGCCGTCCTTTCCTTTCTACCCCTTTCGAGTCGTCTGAAATCGCGAACATTTCATCCTCGACGAGATATTCGGGTTAACCTTGCTTAACCCCTTTCGTTTCATTCGAAAGTGTTGGTACAATTTTATTGAAAAATGAAATGTTCGCCAGACACCGGGGAGAAACGTGATCGATCGATGCCCTCGGACGGGAGCGTTCGATGGCTACGCACACGATTGTCATTCTAACAACTATTGCAATACTGTAGTTGGTGGTATTCTATTCCAAGTGACTATTGCGAACTATGTTCAACGGACTATCATTCATCGTGGGGATGCAACCCCTATGCGCGGGGTGACGGGGCACCGTCGCTGAAACGTTCGTGTAAAAATACGTGTATATGTACATCTCGTATATACATATAATTCATCTGTTTGTATACATACATATATATATAACTATATAAATACTGTCGTAGAAAACTATGATCTGAGGGGAGGGGGTTAAATCTGTCACTTTGAGGGGAGATACGAACGCACCCCGTCAACCCTGTAATTATGTAATATATTCTTGCTTAAAACTCGTGTAATTAGTGTTTTTTTGTGTGTGTCTCTGTATACGTGTGTACGCTTGTGTATACGTGTAACATATGTATATCACGCGACGGTCTGTCGCTTTTCTATCCGTACAGTTAAAAAAAAAAAGATACAGAAAAATAAAGGAAAAAAAAAAAAAACGACGAAGAAAGTCTATCGACGAGATCACTGTTGGGTTCCATCAACTTTGCATGCTCGATCGATCATCTTTGATTCGTTGATCGTCATGGGATTTTATAGTGGGAAATACTCTAACCGTGGCGAGGAAAAGATGAAAAACGAAATGACAAAGGAAAATTCTTCCAAGTACAATTAATTATTTACGTGAATTTTCACGCGAAACGTGCTTTTTTTCTTTAATCTTCCTCCTTCGATCGGTGTTTATTATTTCAAGATTCACCTTCGAACACCGTGGATAAATTTGTACTCTATGAAAATTTTGCTCTTTCTCCGATTTTCCTTTTGTTCCTTTCCAACTTCTGTCTCGCGACACGATTACCCGATCCGTATAACATTTATAGAGAGCTTTTTTCAAGGCAAGAAGTGGTTTCTTTGTACCGATTAGATCCGGATTCGCGTCACGATCGATTATTCTCTTCCCTAAAACGAGCTCGTGGATTCGCGGCGAAATGCGAGGTACGATTTTCAAAATTTCGTCGATAACAAACGTCCAAAAATCACCAAGCCCGAGCTTGTCCCGAGATTTTCACGACGATTCGTATACAAGTGTTTCAATCGTATACAATTACCCTTTCATATGTACATACGATATAAAGTTTTAAAAAAATTCGGAAAAGCTCGCAAATCAGCCGACGAACTCACCCCATCTTTCCGATAATTCCGATCATACAACGTATTTCTAATATGTTTCTAATACGTTCGTACAATTTTATTGTCTCAAAGAAATTATCGTTTGCCGTCGATAGAAATTATTTTAAGTAGCTAAAGCAAGGGGGTGAGTTTTCCGTCGCCGAACAAAATTTTCCCTCGGTCCGCACGCGATCCACGGTCGATTTTATTTTTTTTTTTTTTACTTTTTTTTTGATTTGCTGAACTTTATTTTGGACGTATCGTCTCGCACGAGATATATGAAGCATGTCTGCGAATGATATATATATCGTCGTGCCGCGTGTGTCAGTGATCAGCAAAATCACTGACAATGAGAGTCCCTGTCTGTTATTTTCTTTTTCCATCGAGTAAAATTCTCTTACAGGCTAGAGAAAAAAAGAATGGGGGTTAGTATACTCCGAGTATTGTGTACAACCTACTAATCTAGACGAAATAGTCTCTAACACCTGCAGAGTGGTTTATCGTTAAGATTTCTCAATCGTTAAGTCGTCAGCCATTTAATCGATTCTCTCTCATTTGCTCGCTGTCACTCTCTGCCTTACACGCACACTCGTAAAAACCAAAAGGATAATAATAATGTCGATAATAATAATGAAGAATACGAAACGGAAGAAGTTATCTTCGTTCAAACCACGCTGCGTAACTACCGTATTGCTAAGTTCTCTTTTCTCTAGGCGTATCTAAATTAGGTATACCTGTATGCGTGTATATATTTATTTATACACACACATACATGTTCTATATATATATATATCTATATCAAGGTATATCGTAAATCAAAGTAGCTCGTGTATGAATATTCATTAGTAGGAACCATTTTAAGATTACACTCGAGCCTGGACGCGAAATCGCGCGCGATGATTCGAATCGTTATTTCCACTAAAAAAGAAACACTTGCCTCGATTTTTTTTTCTTTCCATTGTCACCGAAGAACGAGAATCACGGCCGAGGATTCACGCGTGAAAACAAACATTAACGATTTATAAATAACGCAAAGTGGAGGGAGATCGTTGATCGAGAGATGAGTCAGGGTCTAACGACACGTTCAAGAATGCGGAAGGAAAAATTCGATGGATGTTCCAAAGGGAACGAACGAAAATAAAAAGATGCTGGGTGATTCTCGTTTTATCGCGACGCCGTATCGTTCCCTCTCGCTGGATCTTTTATTTGTCCCGAGTCGTAAGTATACGATGCAGGAGCAAGTAAGAAGATTTCGTCCACGGTGTAAATAATCGTCTCGAAGAATGAAAAAGCAACGTCAAAGTTGAAAACTTAAGTACTAGAGAGTCATGGCAAGCCCTTGAGTGTATTTCGAGGCCGATTAAGTAGAAAAAAGATCACGCGGACCGTGGAACGACGAAAGGGTACGACAAGAGGGTCGAGGCATTTTTCCAAGCTCGCGCGCTATTTCGCCTGCTTTGTTTTCAAATACCAGGAGAATTATCGTGTCGATTAGCATGCGATAAATAATTCATGCGATTCAGAAACGCCATTTGTCGCGTTCACTTTGATCGTTAAATATTTTCAGGAATCGCTCGAAAGATCCCTCGTTCGCCAATCGACGGATGAATTACACTGACATCATTCCCGCCTCTTTCACCTACGATAAAACGAGTAGACAATTAACAATCTCGATGATCGTGACGATCATCAATCGAAGACACGTGTCTTCTGCTCTTCTCTAATATTCCTATTCCTGTGTTCTCCGTTTGTGTATAAATGTTTGCGTCTGTTCGTGTTGTTACTGCCGTGTATTTCCGAAGTGCACGCATCTAAAAAATATAATTAAGGGATGTGCTAACCCTAGCGCTACACGTATCTGTTCTACTCGTTAAATATAATGCGTGTGGTTTCTCTCTCTCTCATCCTGTGTATTCGTGTACGTACGTGTCGTGGTACACTAACTTCTCTATAAATCTAGATAATATATATTTGTCCTCAACATTCATATATAATAATAATAATATAATAATAATAATAATAATATAATATAATAATAATAATATCTTCTCGGGAGTCGCGTGTTCGCGATGCTCGCCGTTTTCTCTTTAAACCTTTAGAAAATAAAAAGAATAAACAGTTGCCCTGGCGTTACCTGGCTTCTCGATTCTGTTCTCTTTCTCTCGTTCGAGGCTCGTGAGAAAATTGGTAAAAAACGTCAATGAGATTCGTTTATCGTAATTATTCACTATATCGTTTCATCGTGTTGTTCACTTGAGGTAGACAGATGGAATATTATAACGGGGGAGGATAAAATATGTGTACACGCGTGTAGATGTGTGTATGTCGTGTAGAGTGTGTAGTCGGGTGCAATGTAGATTTCTTTTGGACTAAAAGTGAATCCACCATTGGCTTGAATCTCCAAATCGGTCGGGACGCGACCAAACGTACCGTACAACTCGTATCGTCGTCTTCATTCTTCTTTGGAAAACTGTATCTCTCGCGACAAAAGAAAACAGGAGTAAGTCTCTACTGAGGTAGTGGATGGATTTGACTGTGAACAGAGACTATGCCCGGATCGACAGGAACCGGGCCACGTCTCGAAGCACTTCTTCTAATCGGGTCACGTGTCACGAACTCTTCGGGTTCACAAGTTACCGGCGAGCGCGTCCGTCTATTCAGCTTTCACGATCTCCGGCTCCTCGTTGTCGCTGAAATCGTCCTCCTCGCCGCCGGATGACTCGCCCTCCTCCATCAGTACACCGTGCCTGTCCTGCAACAGATCCTGACGATCCTCGTGCACAACCCCGGGTCCCCGACCTTCGTCTCGTCCGATCATCGGATAATCCTCGATCCCGCGTCCACCAAGTTTATCCATCGCGCTCATGTGTGCCATTTTGGCCGCGTGAGCAGCTGCGACCGCGGCGGCTTGTTCCGGACTGAGTCCCATCGTCGTCAGTCCCGAATTCTCCGCGATAAACTGGAGGTAAGTGTCTAGAATCGCCGATCCCGTCGCGCTGGCATTATGGTGACCGGGATGGAGGTGTCCGGGTGGATGAAGAGGCGCCGTATTCGGTTCGCGACTACCGTGCATCGTGTCCAAAGATTTAGCCGCTATCGCGGTTGCGGTAGAGTTCTTGGCGCTGCTGCTACTGTTACTACCGCTCACTTTGGTGATCACAGTGTTGTTGTTGGGCGTGGGTGATCCATACCTGAGGCTCAGAGGTAACGTTAGATCCTCAGGATCGTCACCGCCGCACACGCTGCTCCCTGCTTCGGACGGCGCGCCTCCGCGCGGTATCTCCAGTCTCATGTCCCCTCGTCTCGGTCCCGTGGGACTGGCACGAGCTCGCAACTCCGCGGGACTCACCTTGACCCCCGCCTTGGCCAACAGACGCGACGCCAAATCGGGATCGAACGGACTGGGCATCGGCAGCACCGGTAGATCCTTGGTACTGATGCCACGATGCTGTCGGGACATGTGGGAGTGCAAGGAGTTCCTCGATTTCGCCACGGTTCCGCACAACACGCAACGATATCCCGGACAGATCGTGTGCTTATCTTCCAGATGGGTGCGCAACGTGTGGGCAGATCGATAGATCTTGCCGCACTTCGGGCAGGGCCGTGGATCTGTCGCGCGTACCCGAAGCATGTCCAAACTGCGTCGGCCTGGAAAAGAGAAGATAAACAAAAGGCTGATGAAGATGAGTTGTTCCCGGGTGATGGTCTGCTGTCTGCGATCGGTGGGCAACGAGAAACTAGCAGAAAAAGATACGGTTTAAAGAAATGAAAGATGGAACTCAAGAGAAAATGAAGAATTATTGTTTTTAGAAAAAGGATACCTTGAAGGGTGGCGCATGAATCGAAGATGGACGTACCACGTCGGCTTCTTTGAATACCTTTTATTGTACAAAGCATTACTTAAATAGTATATATACTTCATTTCGTGTGTTTTATGTATAATCTTACGTATGCTAGTGTCTGCTAAAATAGTGCGTATGATGCTCTATACATTGTCCGTGGCCACGAGCTGTCAATTGTGATAGCGATTCAACGAACTAACAGAATTTTGTTAAAAATAGAACAATTATTTTTCCTTTGAAATTAATATTAAAACATGGACATTGAGAATAGGGGTAGTTTTCTTGCAACCGCTCGCGCAACTAACAACTCGCGCACGCGAATATATATTCATATTTATATATATTTTTCGTATTTATTCGCAGCGTATCCTCTAGTAACTATCGTACATCGTGTGTCGTGAAACTTAACCAGTAACGGGGAATATTCTTTACCTAGGGAATACTGACGAAAACAGAAGACCGTAGAAAAATAAGGCTAGGCGTTGTTCATCGTGTGCTGGTCGATCATTAATCAACGTTCGCTCGCGTATATATACGTCTGCCATTAAATGTATTTCTCTACGCGTGTGTGTCTGTGGTGTGTGTCTGTTAAATATACGTATAATATTCGTATTGCGTCGCACATCTTCGAATAACGATTACGGAAGCATCGCGAAAGTTAGTCTCGACAATTAACGTCGTTTCAGTTTCTTCCGTTGTTTTCTTTCTCATTCCATTTAGTTTCTTTGCTTTAAACTTACAATCCTTCTTCCATATCTAAACACTTTTCTCGACTCCTGTCTATGCTCTTAAAAACTACGCTCTTTAAGGTAAGGCTGGCTTACTCAGCTTAGAGGAACATTGTTTTCTCTTGTTAAGATACGTAACCTAATCGTCAATTATCGTCAATTATCAACATCATTGTAGTCTTATAATCAACGACGACCTCTTATTTATTATTACACAATCTCTATTGGTGTGACTACGGTATTTTTTTCTTTTTCTCAGGCTCTACTAGAAATACTGCTTCGTACATTTTTTTATACAAAATCAACTCTCTCTCTTTTTTTTATCTATATAGATTTACTCTTCGTATGTATATATATATATACTCTCTCTATATTTATATAATATATATCTTTTTTCTTTCTTCTGCAATATAATCTCCCGAATATTTACAAAATGTGCGCTTCTCAGTGGGTACGTTAATTCTCAGGAAGAGAGGTGGGGGTGTTTGTGTGACGTTCTCGAGAATAAAGCACTAACGACAATCTTCGACGTTCAGACTTGTTTGCTGGTTATACTTACAATTCAACCAGCTCCTAATTTCGCGTATTACAACCCCCCCTTCGAACGTTTGTAGACTCTGGCACGCAAGACCTTCTCGCTGCAACGCACCCTCCACCATATCCCAGAAACGATACGTCGAGTCACGTGCAATCGATAGGCGACTGATAAATTGGCGAAGAGAAAACGATTCAAAGAAAAGAAAAAAGTATAGAGAGAAAAACGTTTAGATAGAAATCTCCTTCTGCTGAACTTTGATTTCAAACCTAGAGGTATTCAAATTGAAATTATTGAAGAGTTTTAATTTTGTCAATTTCAATTTTCCAAATGTCTCGCGCTAATGAAATAAAGAGTCGAATGGTTCTAAAGGGAAGAAAAACGAAGAAAAATGAAAATTCCACGATTTCCCGCGCGAACGTGTCCAACCCTAATCCACAGAGATACCCAACTCGAGCCCATTGCCTCTTTATCAGACGTAGGTCCATCTGAGCGTCTTTATCCGATCCCATTGCACCGGATGCTTCAACCGCATGTGGTTCCTTACGCTGTTAGGGTGAGAGAAGGTTTTGGCGCAAGAGGCAACGGGACAGGTGGGCGAGTCACGAGGATAATGATGCTCCAAGTGAGCTCTCATCGTGCTGATGTCCTGCAACGTTCTACAACAAAGAGGACACCTGTAACCGTGTTGCTGATGATGATCACGTATCATCTTTTGTTGCCTGAAGTCGGCTGGACTCCGTTGATACTTGGTTGTTGTGTTGTTCGGTGTGGTAGAGGTGGTCGACGACTGGTCTTGTTGCTGTTGCTGCTGTTGATCGTCTTCCTGTAGCGCCTGATGATGATGATGGTGAGGAGGAGGAACGGATAGTGGATGATGATGACGATGCCGATGATGTTGCTGGTGATGGCTGTGGTGGTGGTGGTAAGCCGCGCCCTCTGCCTCATCGAGCCCGTGATCTGCAACCACCACCACACCAACGTTACCACCAGCCACCACCACCATAAACCCAACCCAACCCCTAATAAAAACACAGTGTACCCAAAACGTTGCCCCCTTCTAACGTTTCCCCTTGGTACAGTCTGTTTCAAATAAACTTGCTACCGAAACTCTTTTAATTAGGAAAACTTCAGAATTTAACAAATTCAGATATAATAATTATTTTCTAGAATTTTTATTGTGATTAACCCCTCGGATGGTGAACCGCGGAGACAAGGACAATTTAAATTTTATTTTCTATTATTTTTTCTTTCTAAATTTTAGGAGATTGCTAATCAAAGATTCTACGATTATTTTAAACAGACTGTACTTGAGGAGTACCTAGAGGAGGTTACATCCCCGCAAATCGTTATCCGGTTATACTGGTATCTGACGGAATCGCTAATTGCTCTCTCTCCCCGTGTTCGGATATCGTGCGCGCAATTGGCAGACAGGACTGTATGGAATTCGCGCAATCATCGCGTAAATCGAATACTGAAGGGAGATGTTCGAACGTGTCCGGACAGAATCTCACGTGCCAGATTATTACGGAAGCGGCTGTGTCTCTGTGTGGGGTAGGGTTGAACACGTTCTCCCCGGATAGTCATCTAAGGCTAAACGAGGCACACGTTGGCTCGAAGGTGGCGGAGCTGTGTAAACGTTTCGTTATTACAATAAATAAAGTACACTATATTTTTACTTAACACGCAAACGATCGATTATCGATTATTCGTGCCATGCGTTCGAAAGGTGCCTAACAAAATATCCCGACTGTTTTTCGTGTCGCATTAGATACCTGGTTGCACGATGATATCGTGACCAGGGAACATTAAGCGTGCTTGGGTCTCGGTACGTTCTAGAGTCTGAAGATTTCTCGTTTTCCCGGCTCGTTCTCGAGGCAATTGGTTCGTCTGCCATCGTTGAATAGACATAGAAAATAGGAATCTTTGCGTGAGCTCGTCGATACAAGCGGCCACGCCTCGAACGTCGCGTGAGATTATTTCAACTTTCTCTATCGACGACGTGCAAATACGAAACGGTAGCGTAACCCGGATTCCCTTAAAGATCGCTTTCGTAAAAATAACGCGTCGATATTTCAAAGAGAATAGACCGACGACGCCGAGCGATTCTTGACGTGGATGCAACAACAACGGGAACGTCAGAATTCTAAAGCGAGCCAGAATCAAACCGGGGACCGCTCTGTATCGACGAACATCCTCTAACGACTCCCAACTTCATCTGGTCGCGGATCGCGGCTTCCTGTGGTCGTTTCTCAACGACAACACGAGGGCAGACGAGGAGGACCGTACTCATGGCAACGAGGAGGACGAAGAGGGTGACTGGTGCTGCTGTTGTTGATTCGGATTGTTCAGGCTCGGTCGTTGATGTATCCCGTGAGCCTGTAGCTGATGATTGATCAGGTAATGCTTCGTCTTGCATCGTTTCCCGCACACGTTGCATTGCGGCCACGTCTCCGGCGGCGGCCAATTCGAGTGGACATTTTTCACGTGTTGCCGAAGGTTGCTCGGCGACGAGTAGCTTCTGCCGCAGTAACGACATAGAGGCCTAGCATCATCGTGTCGCAGTGCCGTGTACAGTCTCGCGAAATTCTCCACGGCTTGCGTAGTTTCGCTGGCGGCCGCGGCCACCGCCGCCATCGCGGCTTCCTCCCTCTTCGGCATCACCGATCCTACAACCAGGACGTGCCCGTCAGTTGATTCTGTCGCCTTACTCTCTTTCTCTCTCACGACATCTGTTCCCCTCTCTCTCTCTCTCTCTCTCTCTCTCTCTCTCTCTTCTTTACACATACAATCCCTTCATATATGAGCACACGTGCTAAGCCTCTCTCTCCATTGACACAAACGCCCACGCATGTAACACATGCGACCACTCATACCGACTCCTTTCCTCGATTGTCTCACTTTCTCTTTCGATCGTTCCGCACCCTCGAGCACACCAACGCACTCAATTCTCTCTCTCTCTCTTACTCCTCTCCTTCACGTGCACTCGCTGCGCTTTTCATGCACACGCACTCTCATACCTGTACACACGCACGCAGACTACTCTCGTACTCTCAGGGCATGCCCGGTTGTAGGATGTTTAGTGTGTTGTTCTTGTTGATGTTGTTCTTGTCGATGTAGCTGTGCTCGTTGCTATCGATTTTATTTAAAAAATTTACTTCATGACGGAACGCATTGATCGCGCACTCTTTGATCTTTAGCGCTCCTGGAAATTCTCGAGCGCGTCTTTGAGGTCCGCGCCCAAGGAAACAGCGTTTCTCGTTCCTTCGTTCGCTCTCCCTCGCTCGTTCCGTCTTGAACGCGTTTCCATTTCGCGACAGGAAACTTTCCTTTCGCGTCTCCTCGACGCGAGGGTTGCGAAAATTCGGACGATATGCAAAGGTGTTAAGAGAAACGCGCGAAGAGCATCGTCGCCACCTTCGTCCTCGTGCATTTCAAGCTCTCGATGAATGAGAGAGAGAGAGAGAGAGAGAGAGAGAGAAAGAGAGAAAAGTAAAGAGAAAACAAAGAGAGAAAGTCAGATAAAAGGGAGTTCCCGACGTA